GTTATACTTACTTTGACCAAATCAAAATTATAGATCACGGCCGACACAGAATCGCTTTACCAAGCGACATGATTGTCTTGTTGCCTTCTGATTTTTGTAATTACAACTGAAATGCGATCCTATCTACTTCCGAATGGATCCTCCTGTCCGCCATGCATCCATCTGATAAAATAATAATAATAATAATAATGCAATGTCCACCCCTGTCCATTATTTTATTGTGCAAGCAAACGATACCTATGAACAATGCATACACGATGATCACTATACTCGTGGGCGGATTGATGCGAATCATTTTTAGGGAACTGACAAGGTTCGTCATGAGTAAGGAATAAAAAGTTGTAAAATTTTATGAATTTACCGTCTTGTTGATACGAGGTTGACAAGGAGGAGTAGCTACATATGAAAAGTGGCTAAAACTTTTGTTTGTCGGGCTATTTGATCATTCTTATAAGGGTTTTGATCTGTAGGGTGGATGAAAAAAGGAGAATTATTTCGATGTATACTAGCCAACACATGGTTATTACTTTATTCTGCCTCGGATTCCGTTTTATGACGATAAAGTAATAAAAAAACGCAAGGACCACCGACCCACCCACCCGAGCTGAGCTACACAGTTGTAAAATAAAACATATAAGGACGCCAATAATTCGTTTCAGTCAGGTCGGACGTAGGATTGTAAGTGAGACTCATGAATAATATATTTCACGAGTTTGATTCATTACAGATCAACTTTGTGTATCAATGCCTTATTGAATTTGGAGTAACAACAATCGGTTTTCTTTCCAAAATTGCCGACCGCACTTTAAAAAATGAATCACTTTCCTTCTTGGAACAAAATCCATTCATCAATCCAATCCAACAAATGAATTGTACTTGGATTCGATTGTGGAGGAAATCAGCAAGTCGAAGGTTTCGCCCGTGTGGGTGGCTGATGGAAGAGGCGGAAGCCATTTAGTGGTTGGGTTTGTCTCTCTATCAAGTTTTTCATCCGAGTGGTGAAAACTTTGTAATCATCAAATCGGATCAAAGTTACTTTTTTTGGGGCCGTGATTGGTCCAATAATTAATGCTAATATCATTCCATGTCAGTCAGTCAGGCCTAAAGTGATACGTTTCTTTGTCTCTTATACACCTTTGATAAGTACGGGATCATTTATTCCCTTCGTCTCATTTAACTCTTTCAAAAAATAAGCTCTGTCTCTGTGAGTAATGAATCTGCAAGTTGTACATATTTGGAACGAAGCACATTTAGTTCAGTTCAATTACTTTAATTTTTTAACAAATGATGAATGCATGGTTAACATGCGTTTTCAATATTAAATTATACATTCACACAACGATTAGAGTCACATCCATCCATCCAACGAAGCAACAATGGAGAGCACCTTCGATTTTCAATTGTGCGGAGGCGAGATTTTTGGAGCGGTGTGGGGTGTTTTCATTCTCAACATTCTATTCCACATATTCTCTCTTGACTTCTCGACTTCTAAACCAAACAGAAATCGCTTATCTTATCTTTTTCTCTACAATACAATGCAATATAATGCATCACAGGATCTAGTCGGAGATTCAAATTCGACGAGAAGATGGTAAAAAAGGGAGAAACCAAGCCACAGACAGCACACACGTTAAACGATTTCTTACATATATTTGGTATAAAGTAAAAATTGAATTAGCCAGCATAGGCAGGCGCATACGTATGTGATTTAAATTTAAGGTGGTTAGTGCCCATCATCATGCCTAACTTGGGCGTAACGATTTTTGTCCGCCATCCATCCACAAGACGATCCACAAGAATCCACTTATTATTATTGTAGGAGAGCTTTTTACGTTTAACTTACCTCCTCTCTTTGACTTACCATTGTGTTTCATTGTACTGCACTCACCTTACTTCTGCTATGGTTTGGTTTGTCTGGTCAAGAAGTTGCTGTTGGTGCCAGAAAACAAGTGCCCACGCGGAATTTCATTTCAGGTCTCCCTACTTACACATGAGATTCAAGATTATAGTTCATGTTCTTCAGCTTTAGCTTTATTCCACGGCAGACTCATCTGCACCAAATTTCTCCCACATCTGTCACACTTTTCCTAAAAATGTGCCCTTATTTCTGGAAAATTTGGGAGGATTATCTTTTCACCGAGTCATTTTCGGAAGGAATGATTCCACTGTGTCAATCACCGTTCAGTTTGGACAAGGAGGAAGAGGGTAGACCATATTTTAGTGGCGGATGGATGGATAGGTGCTTACAGCGTCATGCTTATGTATTTAATATCATGGTGAGTAAGTAGTTGGGAATGAATGCGGTTTACGAATCATCTTCATCACCTCATGCTTAATAGTATTGCTCAGAGCGTCGTCATTTCACATCACCTTTTGTTGTATTACTTGCTACTACGTATGTATAAATGGTCAAGTTTCTTCACTACGTACGTAAAGGGAAAGCTGTGAAGTCAAACTATTAAGAATTTAGTTGGCTCTTAGCTATTTAGCGTCTCCTCAACCACATTCATAGGCCTGATGCCATGCATACTTTAGTACGCTTATAGCATCACATCACCGGCTGATCAGAATCAGACACGTTAATTTCATGTTTATCAGGAGAGAGTATGAAGGAACGAGTAACGAAAAATATCTGAGCTGAGGCACAACGTCTTTTATTGTAATGAGTGGTTTAATTCACGGGCACATTCTTTAAATAGGAGGTGCTCATTCGTAGCAGCATGATGAAACATAGCAGATTATTTATTAGCAGCCAATTGGGATGCATATAAATATGGTCTTAAAATTGTAGTATTATTGGTACATACATAATCGAATACTTGCTGCTTACACTTATCACCACCACCACCGCCACGATTTTAGCAGACTTTTGTGTTTAGGCGTAGTATTTCTTATGTACTTATTGGCACGACGTCGTCGTCGTCAGATGAATGACGACACTGCTTAAAAAAAGTTAAATATTCTAGGTTCCTCTAATTATGAGGGCTATTCCATACACGTATTTACTTTTTTTCTTCAAGTGTTTAGTAGTGAAACTAATTTAATCAAGCCTATGAACGACTGCCTATCAAACTTCTTTTCAATAAATGCTGGTGCTTTCCTCGGTTGTCTAGTGCTTGTCAGGCGGCTGGCTTTTTATATTATTTATACGACTGGTTATTCGCTCATGTTTGTACATAAAAAAATTATTTGGGATTTAAAAAATTGCTCAATCTGATAAATTGTGCATTTATGTGTAGCAAGTGGAAAATCGAGCGTAATGCTGGTGTCATAAGTCATTTATGGATATTTTCTTTAAGGAGTTGAGAATTATCAGGGTTAGAATAATGATCCGATTCTTGTCATAATTTGTTATCGAGATTGTGAAGCCTGGCAGCAAGAATCTTTTTGTCTCCTTATTTGTTTCCTCGACGTTTATTTGTTTGTTCTTTGCCCGTCATGTTTTTTTGAATCATCACATCACCCAAACTCACTCAACCTTGCATGCGTTATTAGTAAGTAAAAAATGTGTGGGTGGATGTAAGGTGACTTTGTTTGCTGATCTCAATCCGATTGGTTTGGTATTGTATTTTTCATGTATTGTGCATTGCATACGTACTACCACTCAAATTGGGATGCATTGTGTTGGAAATAATGTATTACTAAATTCTATCCTTTGGTTGGATTGTGAAAAAAATAATGTAATGTTGTCTCGTCATGTTTTTTGGCTGTCCAAATCAAGCCCAAATTAAGCAGGGTCCGATATTTTGTTACATATTAAAAAGAATTCTTGATACGAATTATTATGTGGAGTGGGCTTTACACGGAAAGAACGACATTCCAGGAAGGTTTAGATACATTTTTAAAGTAATATTCTTGTTCTGGTTTGTCCACTAATCACCCCCACAATTAAATAAGGAGTGTGCGAACGACATTTATATCAAATACTCGCATACATATTATCGCATTCAGGTTAAGATTATTTAGTTATTCAAATTGAGTAGAAAGCAATACTTGTTTTTCGAAATTACAATATAATAAATGAAATCTCAGTTTGAAAGGCGACGACACCAGAAAATGACTTATTTATTTATGGCCCCTACGAAACATTGTTACGAAATTGCACATAAGAAACAAAGGACGAGAACATAAATTACGTATGAAATCGGATTAAGATAGTGGAAAGTAGAACCTCCTCTCATCTAATCTTATGATTTAGATATCAAAACGTCAAACTTGATTTCAGAGCATTGTTTGCTCAATGATTCATTTCTGTTTCTGACACCCACTTACTTATTCCTTGGGCTCAACCAATACATTTATGAAAAGAGTTTTTGCTCTCTCTAGTCTCTGTCCGCTCATGAATTATGCACCAGTCCGCGTATGTATGTATCTGTGTGATGGGGTTTGCTTGCTTTAATTTTCATAAAAATGATTGTTCGCCGTGTGGGATGATGAAAACCTTGTGTCAACAAAGTCACTGATACGGGATGGATTATGCAGCTCGGGATGACAGCTGCTGTTGAGTTGAGACATGTTATCATCGCACCTTCATTTTCTTATGCAAGCAGCACTACTCCTACATATGCAGTGGCCGCGGAAGGTGTGGGGGCATTAGCATTGGAGGATAGGGGAGGGAGGGGTTTATATAACATGGGGAGATGATGGGGACACCGAATAACGGTGGGGACATTGTCCCGCGGCCACTGCTCCTACTTCTGAATTATATTGAATGGTAAAAGTCTGGTGAAAGTTTTTCGGTCTGCCGGCTTATTGAATATTGTCGAATGGTGGACAAAGAAATATGAGAAAATTATATAATCGAGGTCATGGATGGAGGGAGAATGATTGATTTAGCATTTCAGCAGGTCATAAAATTTCATGACTTTGTCAAAATGAGACAAGGTCCCAGAATTTGAAAAGTTTTAGTTAGTCGTGACACCTTAATGGCGCATTAACACGAGTTTTCTGTCCGTAACATGTCACCAGCTTTACTAATGTTTTAACTTTGTAATTTACAGAAATCGCCCGCGTTCGAGGGAACTTGTTTCACCTGTCTGGCACCAAAGTAGAGCCTTTAGAACGTATGCGGAAAATGAATATATTTGATTATTCAAATGAGCTCCCTATCAAAATAACATAATTAACCAACCAACCTCCACTAAATTACAGTGCCCGAACCCGTCGGACCAGTTGTCACCTCATCAGAGAAAGTTTACGTTCCTGTCAAAGAGCATCCAGACGTAAGTTCCCTCTTCTCTCCTGGTCCCATTATTCCGGAATTTTAATTAATTTCCCTAACCCCGTGTCATCCCCGTCATAACCACTAAGCTCATGGTCAAAATTACGTAGATTAGTAGGATGGATGGAAAAGTGACTTAATTTTCTCCCCTATTTCAAAGAACGACAACTAAAAAAGTTTATCCCAAACGAAACGTTGTAAAATGATCAAGTTCAAGATTTATATGCCATTTATTCCATCCTACACAAAAACCAAAGCCTGTGGCATTCGTCAGACTTACGGACAATGGAGGTCTCCCAGCGTATGCTCTCCGATTTTGACCATGAAACTAATGTCAATCGATTTTACAAATTTAAGAAATATGAAATTTACAAAAGACACGATCTCACAATGTTTTTTTTGGCAAAGATACTTGAATCCAAAGAGGAGAAAGCGCGCCCTAAAGTTGACAAATTTTACACTTTCCAAACTCACTTCGCGCTTTCTCCTCTTCGGATGCAAAAATCTCTGCCAAACGTGCTCATTGAGAGATCGTGTCTTTTTGCGAATTTCGTATTAAATACATTTTTGATAGATTGATACTAGTTTTCTGAAAATCTGATACAATACGCTGGGAGACCTCCATTCTGTCCTGAGTGAAAGCTACGACTGAGGACTGTAGCATTTTCTCAACTATTTCTTTCTTTCTTTCTCAGCTTAATAAATATTAACGATTCCAGCAGTCTCTCCTCTCTCTCCGACTTTGTTGAATGCCTACATATTCCGTGGAGAAATTAGGATCTGTGAGGCTAAATTGGAGCGTGTTGTGACTGAGCCGCCCATTCTATACCGCATTCTATGCATTATATGGGATAGTACATGGCGAACATAATGTAACCTTTGCTCTCCCTACTTACTTGTCTTGCTTGATACTCACTTGTTTCTTCCTCTCCTCGTTGGCCACTTGGCTGCTAAACTTGACTTTTACTCAATTTAACTTCAAAGTTGAGTCGTTGGCTTGCAAAAGTTAGACACACATTGAGAACAAAATAAGTCTTCTTATCATGCAGAGCATACAATGCGGATGAATTACGAAATAGTGCAGCTAGCTGGCAGAGGAAATACAACAGACAGAAAATGAGCTCGTGGTTATGGTGGTTGAAAGTGTTTGTGTTCATGCATATATATCCCATCAAATTACTTACGAACTATGACTATGGAGTCACTTCTGTGTTCATATATTCGGTTGTGGTCGTGGTATGATGTGGTCTTTCTAATTAAATAACTTTCTCCATTGATAAAATTACAGTTCAACTTTGTGGGGAGGATACTTGGTGAGTGTTTATAAAAATTTATAACCTTTCTCAAATGAAGTACAATGTCAATGACGAAAATATCTAACTGCGCTTTTGGTAAGGTTATGCTTATTTTTACAATATTTTTTACAGGGCCCAGAGGAATGACGGCAAAGCAGCTCGAGCAGGAGACGGGATGCAAAATCATGGTGAGACAATGGAGTGAATGGAGGGGGTTGTAAGCTTTATACGTAGATTTAGCTTATATAAATCGGATATAAATACATATGAACGAATTTCAATTGCATTTATATAGGTACTTGTAATGCTCACTTTATTATGTAAATGTTAGATGTAGTTTTAATGTACAGTTTCTAGAAAGGTTTAACAAATCAGAGGGGATTATCTGTGTTCCCAATGGTTTGATTATAAAATAGCAAACCTACGTTTTTAAAATTTCCGTAACTTTTCCTATAGCTGGATTGAGTTGGGTCAAAATTTTCGGAGAAAGTGTAAAATATATTCAGCTGAAACTAAAGAGCTATTTTAAGATGGGCTCCTGAAATTTTGACCCAACTCAAGACATGGAGAAAGTTACGGAAATTTTAAGAACCTAGGTTTGCTAAATGTCTCATGTAAAATTCAATTTTTGTCATACTTAAACAATCTTTGTTTATACCCAATGTCAGTTTCTCTACATAATCACGGTGAGAACTAATCTAAATTATGTGCAATGTCTATTTCAGGTACGAGGAAAGGGTTCCATGAGAGATAAAAAGAAGGCAAGTTACTCTTCACTTTTGATCTTCTTTACTCAAACTAACAATGAAGGGAGTAAATTTTGCAAATTTCAAAGAGCCATTTAAAATTGCATGTCTATTTGCCCACTCCGACTCACTCATTCACTCACTCCTTGCACCATACTCTTTAGATTAATTGATGACGATACAAATGACAATTGATCCATTTGTCACGAAATAGTGTACAACCCAGCCATGAAACCATTCGTTTATTAACTAACAGTGGCTGGCAACAACTGTGCAAATAAATATTATTCTTTCTTGCGTAACAAAGACCAAGACAATTTCTGGATTGGGGACAAAGAGAGAGAGATAGAGATGTAATTCACTCCTTATTATTAGCGAAAAACTCTGGGTGACAGTACATATCTGCTTCATCAAGTTTATCTCGTGGGTGGTCGTAGCCATACGCAAAAAAAGACTTGCAAGACATGTCATTTCGCCCCACTCACTATCACTTTCCTTTGTATCATAATCCCAGTCAGATAGATAACTAGGTTGCATTTTTTACCAGAGAAAAAGAATCGTGCCTTGACCAACCGTTCCGTTAACGATGGCGAAAAAAACCTACGGAGAAAGTATCGCATTTCTCTATTATATCATAAGAAGAATTGAATACCGATAAATGCACAAGGAAAAGAATCACAACTTTCTCCCGACTTTTTTTATGGCATGGCCCATCCACCCACCAAGGAAAGAAAGTAATTTCTTCAAGTGGATGATTTACCCCACAAAATGCAGCAATACTTGGAACAAGATTTCTCTGTGGTTGTTTGTTGCCGTCCAAAAAGTGGCATTCTTTCCTCTCGTACAATGTTGCGAAATTCCTCCAGCATTCCCACTTTGATTTGCTCTTGGCAAAATACCGAACCCTTTAAGAAGAATTGGCTTCGACATCACACACATACCTCACTCACCCACTAATTCAAGTGGTGCTATTAAAAGCATATATTGCACAACTTGCACCATTAGCAGGTTGTCCTCGCAATTAAACGGGTTCATTTTTAGCCACTTTTTATTACGATATGGTGGGTGAGCAAGTGTGTCGAAAGAATTACAGTGTTGAGATGAGAAAACATGAAAGTTCTGGTGGTCTCTGAAACCTAGTTTAGTTTCTGGCTGTGAGATTCTGTCATTCAAAAAGATGAGTTGAGTGGCATAAATGCTTTCCTCCTTCCGCAGTGGCGTGGCGTGGCATGGTCGTCGTCGTATGTACATTTTTTTTTCCTTGGTAAGTCTGCAAGGCGATGATGCCGTAACGTATGTAACACAAATAAATATCGAGATTGAAGGAGTGTGCCCTCCATCTCATCTTCCGGTTATTTTTATCCCATGGCAAGCCATCCGTAGGTCGTAGCTCCCGAACACTGCTCTGTTCGTTCGTATGGTTGGGCAGAAAAAGTTTAAGTAAACGTTGCTTTGGTGCGGCTGCAGGATGAAAAAAGGGAAATAGAAACAGGCCAGATATTTCTCCGTTTATTTAATACGATTATTTTTGAAATGCATATTCATAAATGTTTTCGGGGTAGACAGTTTCATTTTGATAGGCATTTGATTAGTTAATACTGCTCGGAAAACTGAGAATACTGTGTTGAAATTTTAATAAAATTTGTACCTAAAGTGCGGTCACTGGTATTATTTTTGAAATATTTACGTACATTGTAACTCGTTTAAAGCATTTCGGGATACGCATTTTCATTTTGATAGACATTTGATTATTTGATCCTGGTCGGAAAAGTGGTGGAAAATTTTAATAAAATTTGTATCCAAAGTGCGGTCACTGGTCGCCTCCTTTTGCTCCTTTGAACTATCGCCATTTAGCCCAAACCTGACTTGATGTGACACTAATTAATGATTAAAGTGGATGTTGATGTCGGGAAAGTATTCCATAATTGGAAGTAAGGCATCTCTCTCGTGATGATGTAGTCGTTGGTTTTATTGCTTAACGAGTTAGGGATACGCAACGATTCCGGATTTACAGGCCTGTAGCGTATTACCAATTTCAGCAGGACAGGCCAGGCTGGAATTTTGGACATAACACATTTACCACTTCAATTATGGCAAACGCTCTAACGTGGGATTGTTAACGAGATTTTTAACGCTTTAAATTTGAATAAAAAACTGAATTTGGACTAAAACTGGGTGGGTTAAAAGTGTGAGGAGAAAAATCTCTCTCAAGATATTAGTCCTCCTCATAAATCAAAATGTTGAATGTAGTCACTACCAAAACCAAGCCAAGACGAGACTCTCGCTCGACTAATAAAACCTCCAGATTATAAAATGTTTCCGAAAAAAGTGTTCCATATACATATTTATCGCTGACTTGTGGAAATATCCCATCCAATTTCCTAAATCGTGTCGTAATCCTCACTCACACACACCAAGAAATGTATGTATATTAATCTCATCACTTTGCAATTTCAGCATTTTTTGTCCCACACGAATATAAACAGATACATTATGAAGACGATATGTACATGGCTTACCCTCCTTTTCGAAATGGTGGCATTAATGCAGGAAATTACGATAAAACTTTGCGACATTTCTATTCAGCATTGTTTTTTATGTTGAAGTTTGCTGTTACGTTTGCTGGCTCTGATTTCACGTAAAAAGTGTTTGTTTGCATAACATAAGGTTGGATGGACCCGCGTGTAAAGTTTTTTTTATCTTTAAGAAAGTTGCAACATTTTCCCATTAGAACATTAGAATGTACTTAAATGCAAAAGTATTTTTCTGGCATTCGCTCTCTCTCTGACTAAAATATTGGCTGATTAGGCTCTCGTAGGAGTGTGTGGGTGTGGTGGGTGGATGGATGGATGGGTGTAGGAACGATATCAATGTTTAACGTCGTAGCAGATTTTTCCTCCTTTTACTCTCGAGCTTCATAATATTCTCAGCCTTCTTTTAAACTCTCCTACACACACATCTTGATATGCTCTGGAAAAAAATGTTCCACCATTTTAAATGCTACTGCTCTAAAGTTGTATTTAAAACGTATGTGTGTGTTCATATCATAGTTGTTGACTGGCTGGCTGGCTTACGTCAGCGTCCATGTAGTAGTTAACTAAATGTATGTGGCTTTCAAGCAGATTTAGTAAGTCTTATGTATGTATGAAGGTTGGTTTTTGTAGTACGGGTTTTCGGTTAGAGTGTAGACTTATATTATGGTTTCTACTTTTTTCTTCTTTTTTCGGTGGCATCTTCAGATATATGTTGAGACTATTTTTAGGAAGTTTATACTTTGCCCGATATAGTCATTCATGTAAATAGATGAAGGTTTTCAGCAGTTTTCTTACCCTTAAATTCACTTGACTCCTCGCAGGTAAAATTTTTTCTCGATTTTGGCCAGACTTACTTGGAGAATATGTAGAAAAGGAATGTTTCAAGATAAACAAAAATGCATGTGTGGAGGTTTAAATAATGTGGATTCGATGAAATTGTCTTTATAATGATATACGAAGGAAAATGTCAAAGTTGTTGCATTGCTCATTCTTGACTCGTACGCACTCCTAGTGGGCCTTCTTATAGTGAAAATTCTGAAATGTATAACAAAATATGATTTATTCCCGGTTTAGTTCGATTTTGGCTTTACTACTTCATTCCAATTCACATTGTGGCATGTTCACTATGCTGGCAGCAGAATTTTAAGATGAAAACTTTCCAGTAGAGAAATAAGGAGGATGACGTTATGGTCTCCTTCCTTAATGTTTTGCACAACTTTCCAACTTGTGCGTTCTAAAAAATCAACCTGCTTGTACTTGTCGATCATTTTGTCTGCTAAATTTTTAAAACGTCGTAAATTCAGCCAACATTACGTTACTATACATTTTGTCGTAACACGATACTTATGATTTTGTAGTAAAGGATGTTGTTGGGTCGATTGGATTTTATGTATGAATTTGATTTGCAAGATTGTTTCACCTGTTTTTCTACCCGGTTTTTGGCAACCTCCGAAAATTTTAGTCTCTCCCCCCACAACTTGGAAGGATAGTCAGACTATGTAGTCTACAACAGTCGTATAATTTCCAGCCAAAAATTGGACGGCAAAAAATTACTGTTTCTAGTACTACCCAGTAGGAAGTACTGTACATATGGATGAAGTTTTCCCGTAAAAAATCACCGGAAACCGAGAAATGTTGCCTTTGCTTAGCAGAGGCAGTTGAACAAATTAGTTTTTGTGGAATTTTTCTCATTTCTACTTTTTTTCTGTCTCGGCAAGGATAGAAACATCACCAACTTCTTGCAACGTTCCCTGTCAACCGAGTCCCGTATTTTTGTCGTCGGTGGTATAATACTTGTCCCATAATAGGGACACACAATCTGTTTAGCTTGGCATAAATTTGTGTATCAATATTTTGTGAAATTCCGGAGAGATTTTTTTTGTGGAAAAAAATTCTGAAAACTGCTAATATAAACAGTATGCATGCATGAATATCTATCGTGCATGTTTTATTCATACTCATACATATAAATATACTCGAAATAATATGATTCTGTTTTCCCCCATGCTGCTGTTATGCTGCTGCCTTTAAGAAAAATGAACTATACAGATCTGATTTTTGTGGTAGTTTGTGTGCAGTGGCAAAAAGGAAGGAAGGAAGGAAAGCATACATATTATTAATAGTTTTTAACTTTTTGCCACGCTGCGCAATTTGGTATTTTTAGGTATTGGTTTTAACTGGTGAAAACTTGAGATGATGGTGGAAATATAAAAAATAAATGTACAGTGCAGCTTTATTTAGCCCGAGTCAGGGTGTTAGTAATAATTTAGGTGGGTAAACTTTCCATTTTTTCGACAGATTTTGCTCATCTTCGAACTTGATTCTTAATTTTTTGCATATTCTTCTACGTCTCCGCAAAATTTCACGTCGATTGGATAAGCTTTACGAGACAGACAGACAACCATGCCGGGTACATAAGCCCTGACTCGGGCTAAAAAAAGAGTTTGTTAGTAGAAGAGTGAGTCATACGAGTGAATCCATACTGAAACTAAGTCTATACGCTTTTTCTCCTCTTTCAGCTTTATATCATCACGACCACGACGCCATGATTTATGAGGACGCTAATTTATTTCTTCTCATTTCAGGAAGAGGTGAACAGAGGCAAACCCAATTGGGAACATTTAAAGTAAAGTCGTCATATAGCATAAACTTATTGCGAGCATGGCGTGAAAATTAATTTGTGTTCTATAGTGACGAGCTACACGTCCTGATCACCGTGGAGGATACGGAGAACCGGGCCAAAGTCAAGCTGCAACGGGCAGTAGACGAAGTGAAAAAGTTGTTGATACCTGTAAGTCAAATCAAATGCATCTCGGCGAAATGTAATGATTTCCAGATGTAAGCCCAGGTCTGCTGCCTCATAAATTTAATTATCGTCCTGATTGGAAACATGTACATAGTTTCTGAAAAGGTGGTATGGTGGTATGGTGGTAGGGCGAATGAAGGTGGTATGGTGGTTCACTTAATTATAGAACATTCCACCAAACCAAACCACCACCACTGATTTTATTACGAGTGACATGGAGAAACTATTTATACGGAAGTATTATTCATCATCATCACCATTTATCAAAATCAGATCTCATACAGCAACGTAATTTGAATAGGCTTGACTTTTGCGTAGTGTGCAAAAGTAGTTTTTTCTTCCATTTGTTGAAAGAGTTTTCTTTTCAACTGCTGAACCAAAAGTGGGAAAGTGTCAAATTTCATCTCTGACTAAATCTTTAACTGCAAATCTCAATTTGCACTTTGCTCCCAAGCTGGTTTCGATTTTTTTATGATATTTGACAAGGATAGAATTAAAACAAAGTTCCACTTTGCAATCTTGAGGTGAACTTTATATACACGATTTTTTTAAGAAGGGATGGATAGATCATGTTAAATCAGTTGGTTGGCTGGTTGATAAGGAGGAAGGAAAAGTAGTGATGGGAGAATCTTGTAATTATAAAGTTCCCTATCTCGTACCTCCACCACTACGTTTCACAATGATTAATAAGGTGATGGATGGATGAAAGTTAGTTAAATCAAGAAGGGAAACATTCTTCTCCAAACTTTTAACGTAGTGGTTTGTGGTTGGAGGTAACATTGACACAAAGTTTCAAGCAGCGTGTCAAAGAATCTGAGTAAAAGTGTCAGTCATTCCATTATTCTCGTGCTGTTGACTGTAATTAGCATTTGTGAAACTTATCATACTCTCCTCCGCTATTATACTTTCACCAGAACCACCACTACCACTACCATTTCTGGCATCCAATCAAGCAATTAACATGAAAACATGCTGTAGGATTATGTGTAGCGGTGGTGTGGTTTATTAACTTTTAACCTGGCCTAATCCCACGTGACTGACACCTTTCCTGATTGACTGATTTCAGGCCGAGGGTGAAGACGAGCTGAAGAAGAGGCAGCTTATGGAGCTGGCGATAATCAACGGAACGTACAGAGACTCGAAAGAGAGTCGCGATTCGCGCAACCAGGCCGCCGTGTCCGCCGCCGCGGCGCAATTAGTCTCTCCACAACAAGTGCCATTATCTGCTTTAAGAGCAGCGTCGACGCCCTTAGGTTTTTATGGTTTTTTGAAACACAAAAATATGATGGAATCTTTGCACTCTTCGCCGTACTTGGGACAACTGGAGCAGCAGACTCATCTCTTAAATTTTGATGCTACAGGTGCACCGTTGATAATCTCACCGCATCGCCTGAGCAATGGCCTGAATGCCGCCGCAGCCGCAGCCGCAGCTTCCGGACATCCGCAGCTCATGGCGCAACATGGAGACTCGCTCCTTTATGCAGCTTCGCCTTATACGACCGCAGACTACGCCACGTATCTCCAGTTAGCAGAGTATCCCCCAGAACACGGTGGGTTATTTGCCAGATAGATTCACATTTTTTTACGCCCCCCACATTTTTACCCCCCTCTGTCCTCCCTTTTTTTCTCTCTTTTTTTGAAGTACAGTACCGTTAATCAACTCAAGTATGTAGCAGTTGTCGTTGTCGTTTATCGTTGTCGTTGCGTCATCAATATACATGAATAATTGTCATTTATATGCCTTCCACTTTCTCTCCTGCTTAAAAATCTTAAGTTGGTCAGAGACTCGTACTTTATTATTATTATTATCACTATTATTACTACTTATTATTGAGTGTTGCCTTATATGTTGTCCACGATATGTTCCGTCAAGGAACGTATTCGTACATCTGTTAAATATTTATACACATCATTTCAATTGCAACTATATGCATAATTTGTTTTCAAGTTTGTACACGTAATGAATGATTTTAATTCTATCTTTCTCTCTCTCTTTTTAATTTTGTTCAGAAATTTTGTTCAGAAACTTATTTTACTGAACTGAAAAAGGCTGTTTTTATTTTTATTTCCTTTTAATTAATTTAATTTGCATCACATTTTGATTAATATTTTAAACCCAAACAAACATGAGGTTACCTGACCGTCATTTTAAAAATGTGTTGTTCTTGAATTATTTTTTTTGAACCTTTGCGCCAAATCAAATCAAGTCTGATTTTGAATCCGTTCATTATTGTCAAGTTTTTTTTATGTCGAGAAGACTTTCAAGAAACAAAGTTCAGGGGATGGTGCTTATTTTTTAGAATTGATTTTTATTATTAATTTTAAATACAAATGCTGAGCTGATATTCCATGAGATTGTGTATATTTATATTTAGGCAATTTTCATTTATTACATACATATTTAGCACTATTTATTTTTTAGGGAATATAAATACACGACATGTACCCATTTTCATGGGTATAAGACTCTTGAGTATAATGCCGTCCAATAGTTTGTAAGGAATTGTTGAATTGCTTGACAATCATCAAGTCCAAAAAGTCGAGGAATTTGTAGATTTTTACAAATTTTGTACACTGAATAGCTTTACATTTTATGCAGCTTAGGTAGGGTACACATTATTATTATCGTCTAGATACCAATGGCCGCGGAAGCCGTGAGGACATCTGGGGACATTGCCATTGTAGGATAGGGGAGGAAGGGGTTTATATAACATTGGCAGATGATGGGGACATTGACCCTCTGTCCCCACGCTTCCGCGGCCACTGAAAATGTACATTTAATGTGAACCAGCATTTTTTTATACATCTTATTTTAGAATCTCTCTCTCTCTCTGTACGAGATTAATAAATAAATTAAATTATCCTTCGTTGCAGGATACGACGGAAAGAGTAGAATTAGATTTTTGTATGCACAGTCATGTCGCAGTATGTAAGGGTTCGGTGATGAAATGAAAAGCAAGGCTTTAATTATAATTATATTATAAATAGGTATTCAATATTCAGTGAGGTGCTTTACACGTTCGTTCAATGAATGCAATGTACACCAAAAACGAAAGACTTGTCGAATTTAGGGTCCAAGCAAGCCCAATAATAATTCAATGGTAGAATATTCAATAAGTAAGGTTTAATTTAAATCACAAAATTTAAATCACGCTGATTTAAGCAAGCTACATGAGACGAATGACGAGTGACGACGAGGACGACGACGACCTTAAGTAATTTTCCTTACTGACGTATTACCACATACAATCAGTATTAATCTTGTACCAATTTTATTTGTTAATTAGGTACGCATTTTTTTATTGGGCTGTGCGCATTTGATGATTTGATTGGCTAAAAAAATCTAGCTCAGCGAGAAACAATGTTTTACAAGGTGGCAACTAATAAGTACTAGACTCACATTTTCTATATTTGGCAACTTTTATTATGATTTTATTTTTTATTTTATCACCAATTCCATTTCACTTTCTAATTGCATCTTAAATAGTGATGTTGCGGAGCTTTATTTCGTTCGTTGAGTGAAAGCAGCCGTCTGTTCGTGCAGACGTCTGACTTGTGTGTTTTAAATGTCTCTTTTTTCTCTTTTTTTATCATTTTTTTATAAAAATAAATGGTATCACTTATCTTATATAATCCTCCTTACGTACATATTATGATTATGTAAATGTGTAAGTATTTTACAAAATGCTTGATTAATTGAATCGAGATAATGACGGAATTTTATTTGGATTTTATAAAAGTGGGTAAGATGAGTGGCGTGCGACGACTGACGGGGCTCAGAGATCAGATGCATCCGTATCTCCCAAAAACGGATCCTTCCGCTTCTCTCCTTCACTAACAACAAACCAACTACCACTATAGCAGGTGAATTAATTTCCTCACTCACTCTAATCAATCTAGCTTATGTACTCGTAAAATCATTAATAATTTAATACAGTATATATTTTTATATATATCAAAGTAGACTTTCAGTAAAAATCTCTATTAATTCCTTTTCAAACAATACTATTCATTAAAACGACGAGAAGAGCATTTGGAGAAAGTGGTGAAGGATGCAGGCAAGCAGCAGAGTTGAGGAGGGGAATGGGATTTGAAAATTTGATCCGATCCGATTTTCGGATTAAAACTTAAAACCGATTTTTTTGGATTTAAAACATACCCCTATTCGGTGTTTTTCAATTTAAAACAAAACCCGATCCGATCTGATCCGATTTTTTGCTTCTAAAAAAACGATCAGATCCATTTTTGGACCTAAAAAAGTCCTCGGATCGGATCGGACCAAAAATCCACCGAAAACCCCGACTCAACTCTGGCAAGCATGCAATGCAACTTTCACTCTGAGAGAAATCAGTTGGAATTTGGAAAAATGTATCCTTCCTAACATCTTTTTGTACCAGTTTGTATAGCATGTTTATCCATAAACATTTCGCATGTGGGGCTTCTTTTGTGTGACGAATGTTCCATAAATATTTTATAATAATTTTGCCTCTTGTTTGTTTTGTAGTAGATATTCTTTGTCTGGAAAGCTTTACATGTTGAATGTGAATGCCTTTATATAATAATAATTGTGAATAATAATGTGCGTTGCATTTTTGTTGCATGGTTCACAAATTTTTGTCGTGCATGATATAATTACGAAATTTTTTAAGCCAACTCATGACACACCAACAAATCGTGGTTTTCACCTCGTCAGTAACTCACATTTAGAAAAAAAAATTTATTTATGTAAGATGCATGTAACCAAACATGTAATTATGAATTACACATTGACCTTTTTAATTACCACTTACATAAAATTGTGACTTATTGAATGGGTGGTTATGCACCCATTTAGTGGCAATAAAATTAAACTGTTATTGATTTTAAAGTTGAAAATTTGCATATTATCTACGTCAAGGGAATTTCTTATATAATAAATGAGAAGTAATTTTTTAAAGTACTTCTTTTAAAATTAATACGACATTTACATAAGATTTAATCGTATCCATTCATTCATTATACCAAAACTTTTACTGAAAGAGTCATAATTTGCGTGTTTGTCAAAAATAATCTGATTTTTCTGTCGAATTTTAACACCAGTTTTGATTTAAAATTTTAATACGAGTTGGCTTAAAATTTGTTTGTGGTTTGTTTCATGCATGAAATTGAAATTTTAGATTTTTATGAAAAGATTCGTTTTTGATTTTTCTCTTCATGAATGTTGGGAAGGGATATTTTTCCATTGTTTTTTTCTTACATATTACTGATTGATACTGATCTGATGCTCTAATTAAACTGAAACTTTTCTTGATATGGAATTTTTAATTGAATGAGACTTTCGATCCTAGTATATTAAATGCAATGCACACAGCACAAAACTAACCTCAAATGTGGTTTTGTCTTTTCTGTAACACTTTAGGTGGGTGGGAGGAGCACAAACAGTTGGAACTCTAATCTAACCCAATTGTCAATGCCAATGTCAATGCAAATCAAACCAAACCAACTTGAACTCTGTCAAAAAAAAATCTCCTCCAAATCTCTCAAAAAACTGACAACCAAAAAAAAAATAATCAGACTACTACTACCGAATCACACTACTATTGACCACCTACCACTTCTGCTCTGATCTGAAATTGAACTTCATTCATCCTCCTCCTCCTCAAAAAATGTACTACCATTGACTACTACTCACCTCCTGAAACTGATCTGAAACTCTATTTGATTGAAGCAACATATTTAACATGACAAAGGTGTCGATTCGATATCAACTTATCAATATAAAAGCGATGCAATAATAACAATGCCTCACATTCGTGTCGTTCGTATATATCGTTTATTTATTATACTGGTTGGTTGATTGGTTGGTGGTGCGTACGGATCGTTTGTAATCAATTAAGCTAAAAAAATACCTTGCTAAACACTAAATAGAATGAATCTCTCTCATGGGTAATACGTATGTAATTTGTACACACTAAATACTACACCTGTCTGTATTTCATCAGAAATATCTAACAATTTTTCTTGGCTAATATCTTCCCGGACTTTGTAAACCCGTAATTATTACGTAATTAATTATGCTTTCTTTTTTTTGTTATGCATTTGTTTTGTCCTTAAATATTTTAATGCTGTAGTTTTTTGTACTAAATTTGACACCCTTTTTTACAAATGTTAGCGTCGAAGCGGAATCGATTCGTATTTATAATTATGCTGGTCAAGTGAGTCACACCCACTCATCGTACGTACGTATTTACATACACGCCCATCCAACCAAACTTTCACCAGAAAAGTATAATATACAAGGTAGGACATGAAACTCGCATTAATTATATGTAACATTTTTGCGTTCAAAAATATTGAAATTTCTCTACCGTTTGGACTTGAAATGAGATTTTTTGAAAGTGCAAAAATTAAATTCTTGTAACTCTTATATAAAAATTGGTTATTTATGTACACGACATGCACAAACATTGCAATTTACTACTAATTTTGGTTAGTATTCCAACACAAACAAAATGCAATATGTATAACACAATCGGAACGAAAGGTTGTATTTTAGTCACTTGAATGCCAATCACTTTACTTAATATTTTAAATTCAATCAGCATAATAACAGGAATGCAATGCTGCATGCAGTCCATCAAAATGTAAGAGCAGCTATTACACGGTTGTTTATTATTATGTATTAATACCTGTTTTTTGTAGCTGCATAAAAAAATAAAGCTGCAATGCAATAATATAATTTTATTATTTAGAAACTAATTTGTCTTACTTAAAAAACTTGCTTTATTGAAAAAAACCTGTAGAAATGTCAAAGTTTTTAATAATTTCCTAGTGCCTAGCGTACTTGTAATACATACATATTAAAAGTATTAAAAACTCTTATATATGAAACGGTAGCCTTATTAATTAATTAATTAATAATTATAATTATCATAATATTATTGACCTAAATTAAATATGTAGACTTTAGTTATGTAGTTAGTTAATTCTGTTGTTTGTTAAAAAAAACGTACTTAAAATTCTTTGGTTATTTGATAAGTGTATTTAGTATAACAAAGAACAGTTCGGTGATGCTTGTTGCCATTTATTATAGCACGGATGACGTTACTCCGTCGCCAATTTCAGTTGGTTAGATGGATCGTCTCTTGCATAAAACATTAATTAATTAATTATTACATTACAACACCTTCTTAAACAAATATGTTAAACCGCCTGAGTAGCCTTATTACAACTGAAATGTGTTATTATATGTCTGGATTTAAATCACAAAGTCTCCATCAAATCATCATCTCACTCTTTAATTGTTGTCGTGTTACTTTGTCGTCAATGCAGTGCCAGGAAAAGATTGAAAAAACGCATATTATTATTATTATTACTGTGAAAATGTCTCTTGGATGTTATATAATATAGCCATGTTCATCTAGTTTGTGTATTTTGTGTGTCATTATTACTTGGGTAGAAAAGAAAGAGATGCCTTATATTACTTACTTACTTGTTAATTTACTAACTTATCATGAAATGAAAACTAAAAAACAAACACTTTGTTGTTCTGCGTAATAATCATGTGCCTATATATTGTCGTGAAAAAACTGTCGTACTTTACTTCTGGTCGGTATACTCGTACTCTTGTTTAAAAACTCTTTAATATTTAATTAGTGGTCTGATAGGCCAGAAGAACCTCTCGAGAAATTGATTCAGGACAGGTCACGGTGCAGGTAAAAACAGCAGCAGAAGCGATTAATCAGACAGAGATATGTGCTAACATCATGATTGCAAAATTAGGGGGTGGTTTTGGTGGTGCCTAAAATTTTCATGAAAAGCACTTTCACCAATAAAATAAATTAGATGGATAGAAGTGCATGCAAAGCAAAACCAATAATTAGCAGGAGAGCAGAGGGGTCTCTCTCTCTCTACTCAATAATTAACAACGAGATCACTAATTACCACAAAAAGTTATTTATCGTCTCGTTACATAATTTTATGTTAAGATCTTGGGAAAAATTATCGAGTCTCTAATTTGATTCTCATACATACAAAATCCGTAAAAACGAAACCGTGCCTTTACCTTTTCTAGAGAGAGAGTTTGGTTGTCTAACTAAATAATAAGAAGGGAGACGATGGCTTTAATAATACTTAATTAATTGACTCGAATGAAATAATGACAGCTAAATTGCTTCCTTTAATTGCAATACGGTGCAGCTAAAATGTAGGATAGATGGAAATGTTTCATGAAATAATTAGTTATAGATTTGGACGTTTTATTAGCAGCTATTTAAATAAGTCCCCACAAGTGCAATGAAAAAGGCAAAATCAGCCAGTCAACAAGTAATAAGTAAATAATTCTTTAAAACAGTTTTGACACTCTTACTGCAATTTAGGACTGATAGATAGATTCGATTCAATAAGCAATAATAAAAAACGAACCATTTATTCATACCAGACAAGACAAAAACGTTCGTTCGTATTGATTAATAAATGACTTATCGAGATTATTATCTTCTTTACCTTATGGCAACGACAATGACATGATGCATTACTTAATTGTAAGTAATATTTAATAATTATAAACATAAATATGTACGAAGGGTAAAAGTGTACTTCAACTTATCCAGACGCAACTACACATATACATAAATCCATACATACTTTTATCAGAAATTAGCACAATATTTCATGTAAAGTCATGTGGTTTTGTTTTTTGGTAAATTATTCTTTTCCTTTCTTCAAGAAATATATAAATGGTCATGAAATGAAATGAAATAAAATGGTCTGGTTTTGTTTTGAGTGGATGAAAAATGAATTTCCTCAAAACTACAGCAGTTCAAAAAATTTTAATAAAACGGAAGTATTTCTGTAATTCAATTTTTTCATTGTCAAATATTATTTTGATTTTAAAGTATACAACAAGTATCACCAATAAATGAAGTAAAATTATGCAATATTATAATTATTATTCGATTATTATTATTTTGTTAGAGATTAGTGTAAAATTTGCAATCACAAAAAATATCAATAAGTATTGCAATACATGTAACTGGCTTGTATGGTAGATGATAAGAATAAGTTAAGTGTTGTGTGGGTGGATCTGTGTGAAAATACGTGTCATATTTGATGTCATATTTGCGAGTTAATTTATGTATGTGAAGAAAGTCGATCGATATCGATATATTGATACACACGTTGTTGTAATTTAAACGTAATTATTATATGTGCCCTATCGAAGAGGGAATCTCATTCTTGACAATAGCCATACTATGAAATAAACAAAATGATTTGAACAAAGTTTTTCGTGTCCTTTGCAAATTCTTTATTGATTCCGTTTCATCAATTTTTTTGCATGGTAAATCGGCATGTCACATTTATGTGTGTAAAATATCACATTCTCGTTAATAATTCCATATATAACTTATTTGAGGCGTTGGCAGTATGATAAAAATAACAATAGATAAAATAATGTAATAAATAAATGCGATAATCATTCCTACTCGCTAGGAAATTGTTGACATAAGCTTTCGAAAAGTAAAGGTCTCACTTCTAGCGCTTCGTGGGGTTGAGGTTTCTCCAAGATGGTCATACTTCCACTGCCCAGTGAGCAAGGTCGGCCCATGATGATACATTCTGAGATACCGGATATCTTGTCGGTCTGGCTGTGGTAAGCGGCTAAAATATAATGAGCAAAAAGTAAAGGAACAATGAGTCTTTTTCTCCACAATAATGGCTTGTCAACATGTATCTATGCATGTACCTTCGAATAAGTGATCCGCGGTTTTCTCAAATGACGCCAACATGAAGACAGATTCTTTCATTTTGGCAAGACCGTGGCGAGTGATGCCCAATACTTCACCTCGAGATGTCATAAGATCTGCTACGAGTGTTAAATGTCTCTTGTCAACACTCATGCCATGAGATTCCATCGTGTATTGAATTTCACGGATGATGCTGGATCTGTAAGTGAATAGATATCATAGGATATTTAAAGTCAAGTAGGAATGTAAAATAATAGTATCTAACAAAAGTTGATTTATTACCTGGCAGCTTCAATTCCCAAAACGTTGGATATTTGAAGAATGTTATTTGTGGAAGACCGTTTAGCACAAATTCCTCTAGTCGTTAACACACCTCGAAAGTTTTCTCCTTCAGCAATGACTTTATAAACGCCTTGGTCTTCAGATACGATTGTCCTGCTTATTCCTGTTACTCCCTAAAATAGTAAATACAATTTAGTCATACGAACATTGTTATTGCTTTACCATTATTTTGTAATGGTTTATATTCATCTTACACTTATTGTAATGTTGGGCAATGTTAGAAGCAACTGTTGCATCACAAAGTAATCACTTGATTTTACAGATTCAAGAGGAAAAATTAATATCATGTATTCCACTGCTCGAATATCATCGAATCTTTTAATTTTCAGCGCAGTCTTGAGTCTTTCTACAACCTGATGAGGCGAAATCTGCCGAGCAACCATCTTTTTGGGGTTGAGATGAATTAATATAAAATACTCGTTGGCCAACACAATTTCTTCGATTTTGGACGCTACTTCTTTCAAGCTGGTCCTTTGTAGCGTATTTTTAACGTTAACTGCTAATTTTTCGTCTTCTTCGACAAGTCTTGCTTGAATAATAGGAGTACTTATATTTTTGGCTGCGTTAATAATTTCTTTGATACGTGGAACACCGAGGGTAATGTTCATGGAGGCGACTCCAGCGAAATGAAAAGTTTTCAGGGTCATTTGAGTTCCTGGAATGATTAATTATTTTAATTATTGTATTAATCTCGTTGCTGTTTTATTAAGTCACAATTAGCTCAGCAGTCTGATAAATTACCTGGTTCTCCAATACTCTGCGCTGCCAATGCACCAACAGCAGTTCCAGGTTCCATTCGAGATCTTGATAATTTCATGAAACAAATATTATATTGCTATTATACATGAAGATATTCATGGAATAAATACAATACTCTGAGACTTACCGGTGAAATTTGTCCCAACAACTTCGAATAAAATTTACCAACTGTTCCGATCGGAAGGGATGTTTAGTTACGAATGCTGGTTAAAAATAACGATGCAAATATACTATTCACATAAAGTATCGAATAAAGTAAATTAAAATCACCAACCTTCCATATCAGTCTCAAATTCAAGGCTAAATAATCTGTCACCAGATCCATATTTTAATTCTTCGGCTATAGTTTGCATGTGAATTTTCTTTTCATTTTGACTAGTGAAAGCATCTCCACGACCTGGACAGTGAGCTTTCACATTAAGATAAACTCTGTCAAAGTCAACAGGCTTGTCCTTTCCTTCCATAAACATGGGATCCAGTCCGTCCAAACCATAACACATTTGGATCACTTGGCCTTCCGCGTTCCGCACCGTCATGTCATATTGACAACACAAATCCTCCTGTTGAAAATAGATAAAAGTATAAAATTAATAATTTAATTAAAGTATTAATAAAATAGTGCTTAAAACCGTACCAAGGCTTTGACAAGACGTCGTTGCATGTAACCAGTTTCTGCAGTTTTAACGGCCGTATCGACAAGACCTTCTCGTCCTCCCATGGCGTGAAAAATAAATTCAGATGGGGTCAACCCAGTGAAGAAACTGTTTGCCACGAATCCTTTAGCATCTGGTCCTCGATCTAGGTCAGAAACAACCAGTCAGACAAAATGTAAATGAGTCTACTAGACTGCCAATTGTTGTTTACCATGTCGCCGGAAATGAGGTAATGATCGTTGATAAAACCCGTCAGGAACACGTTTGCCGTTAATAGCTTGCTGACCCACGCACGCAATCATTTGAGAAATATTGATGTAAGATCCTTTGGATCCACATTGGGCCATGATGAGCGGTGCATTGGTTTTGTCTAACTCTTTAACGCAAAGTTTTCCAGCAGAGTCTCGAATATCAGATAAAGCTTTAAGAATAGATCCTTCTACTGATTCCAAAGTTTCGGATGGTTTTGACAACATTTCGAAACATTTCTTGTAACCAGATGCGACTAATTCTTTCTTTTGTGAAACAAGTCTTGCTCCAGGAGTTACATCACCAATCCCTGACCCAAACAATTTACACGTTAGTTAGACTGATTTCACAAAGCTTTATTTATAAAATGCTACCTATAGAGAATCCACGATTCATTAAATAATTTGAAGTTAGCCGAGCCAATCGAAACATAGCTAGACACGCTGCATCCTAAAAGGAGCAAAAGTGTATGCATAGATAATTAATGTCATGTTACAATTTATAAATAGAATCAAGAACGTACCTTCCCCCAATCTTTTAAAAGTGCATAAAATACGTTTGCTTTCGCTCCAGATCCTAGCGTGGCCTTGTCTAATGCCCCAGCCATGAGTTGAGAGTTATGGATAACAACATCTAATAAAACGCCAAAAAGTTAAAATCATTCCATTACAAAAAAATAGTTAAACAGTTTACATACATGTATCTTCGACAGCCATTTCTTCAGCAGTTCCAGAATAGTTTTTTCCCTTTGCTCTCAGATTCAACTTGATCTTGGAATGAGTGTTTGGCCTGAATACAATGGAAATAATCTGTTTTCCACTCCAGAGTTCCATCGGCTTCATGATACACGGTGGAGGCAATTCGACAAACTCGTGTTTTGACACAGCAGCCCATCCAATAATTCTAAATGCTTCCGATCTTGTAAAAAATTGGTCTTTCAACGTAATGAGATAGGCTCCGGTCAAAAAATCTTGAGTGGCTGAGATAATCAATTCTCCGTTCCTTGGTGTGACTAGATTTACTTCATTCTACGGATATCAAAAGGCTCAATATTTGGAGCTCATTCGGCTATTATTAAGTTATCAGTAAAATAATTACCGCCATTAATGTTAAAGCTTCAGCTTTTGCTTCTTCGGTTTGTGGCAAATGAATATTCATTTCATCTCCATCAAAGTCAGCATTATAAGGTGCACAGACGCATTCATTAAATCTGCAACAGAAAATCAGGTGTGTTAAAAATATGTAGATATTACAATTTAGATTTAAATTATGGTTTAATAATTTGCAGTACCTCAAAGTCCGTCCTTCTTGTACTTTGGCACGATGACACATAATACTTAATCTATGCAAAGATGGTTGTCGATTGAACAAAACGACATCGCCATCAACACAGTGTCTTTCAACAATGTCTCCGTATTTCAATTCATATGCCATCTTTTTACGGTCGCCGTATCTCAAATATTTTCTAAATGATCCATCCCGACTCTCTATAAAATTTGCTCCAGGATGATCATCCGGTCCATTTTTCACTAAAGTTCGCAACCATTTGATATTGTATGGAGTAACTTTTTCTGGATATGTTAATATCTTGGCCATTAGCACAGGGACGCCAACCTATGATACAACTGATATGTGAAAGTGAATGGCTAAAGAATAAATATGTGTAAGAACCTACCTGCTGAATTTGTAAGTTAGGATCTGGCGATATCACAGACCGCCCAGAAAAGTCAACACGCTTTCCTGACAGATTTCCACGAAATCGACCCTATAATTTTATTGAATCATGTTAATTTTTGACACTATAATTAAATTAACTTACAAAATTACAAAAAAATCTATATACTTACCTGCTTTCCTTTCAATCGCTGTACAAACCCACGACCCGACTTCTTCTTTCCAAGTTGTAAAGGAAGACCAGACATTTCAGAATTAATCACTAGATGTTGGATTAGATTAAAAGTGAGTTAATCATAAATAAACTTGTTTCAAAACGCCGCTGAATTTATGTCCACTGACCTAAGGCACATTGCATTTGAATAAATTCCCAATCTTCTAAAATCCTATCAACTGGTGCTCCGGATTCGCGATGATTTGTTAAAACTTCGTTTAAGAAACAAATTTCAGTAAGTTTCATTGTAATGTCATCTTCCGTCGTGCCAGCCTTAATTTCAGAGATGACCGAGGGACGAATGCATGTGGGAGGAACGGGGATTCTAGTGAGGACCAGATCTTTTGGACTTGCAGCGTTATCACTTACTCCCATCATCAAAAATGGAACGTCCGAGTTTGAAATTCTTTCGAAAATTCCCATTACAATTAATGGATTTAAAATATCGACGGATGCATCAAGTTGAGAATATTTTCCTGCAGTTGCAGACTCGAATTCGCCTGAATTGTTTAAAGATTACTAAATTTTAGTCAACATGTAATTATTCAAAGTTATGATTAATGCTAATAATAAATAACTAAATAAATAGGCTTACTTTTGACTCGTTTCACTTGCTCTCCATTCTTAGCGTAGCGATACTTGTCGTGACAGATTTTCAACATTCCACACTTTTTTACTACTCCATTCAACGAGCCGCAGTTAATGCAAATGTGCATCTTTTTGCATATTAAGAGTATTTTCTTTCGAAATGCCTTTTTTGCCAGGTATGACAAATTGGGACGTGTGATCAAAGGTCGAAAGTGTTCCCTATCTGCTGGTTTGAGGAGTAGGTAACTGCAATTCTGTAAAGAAATCGTCAGTTACAAAATTATATAACAAGTGCTAAACTAATTATATTGGTTACCAACCTTGCAAACACATTGAAGAATATTGAGAATCATTCCAAAGTAGCCGTAATGATAGACAGGAAGTTCTAGATCAACGTGACCAAAATGTCCTACACAGTCTACAAGACCCTTCCCACCTAAAATAAATCACGATCGATAAGTCATACTCACTAACCAATCATGCATAATCAATAAATTCAACGTACACGTAGCACATTTCGCATCTTTGCTGGACGTCCCAAGTCGTCGGTCCAAAACTCCATGCGAAACTGGCGTCCTTTTCCCATCCTGCTGGTATAAATGTTTCGCAACAACTTTGAGATGACCTTGTCGAGAAGTTTCTTCCGCACTTCCCACCGTGAATTGAACCGAGGTCCTGAACAATTACCAAATTTATGAATATAATCCAATACATTGAAATATTTCTCTCCATAAATATTAAATATAGACTTACACTTTATAATTACACACCCGTTCCCTGAATTGGTCTTTCACCATTTTGACGAGGTCTTGGTTAATTATCTAATTAACTAACGACACAGGGAACTTTTAGACTCCCCGTTATCCCCAAAATTTGTTACTTTCAATCCGTTCTAATTAGATCAGTCTTAATTCCATCGTCCCTACAAAAATCACGTTACATTCATTATAATTTCATCATTTAATTGACAACATTCTTAAAACACAAAAATGCAAATAAAAATACTCAACTCACCATTCATTCCATTTGCACGTCCTTTGTTACGGAGTCTTCCGATTAAGTTCGTTTTACCCTTTACCGTAATTCCTTAATTTTATAAAATGAAATTTCACTAAAAATCGAAAAGATTAAAATTGTCAAATTGTCATTTGTTACATTGACAGATTGAACAAGCACGATTCCGATTTCAGCATGTGTTTGGAAGTAAGAATTTAAAATTGGTGAGCCATGCGGCCAGTGCCCAATGAGAGATGTGAGTTGGGAAAAGGAGGGAAGGATCCCTCTTCGTGTAACAAACCGCTCTTCGCATTGTTGTCAGAATCGGAGAAACGCTTGGACACCACTCACTTTCTCTCCCCGATTTTCAGTTATTTTATTTCCGTTTCTCGTTATTTATTTTATCCTTTTTAATTTTCAAGTTTGGCCCTGTGTTTGGTTTTACTTGGTGAGAGAAAAATGGCTTTCAGTGATTATCAGCAAGATAAGGGTGAGGAATTTGATTTAAGATTTCCACATGTGTAATGTAAATTTAATGTGTGTGTAAAGTTCTAAAATTGAAAATAATATTGTGCAGATTCCTTCCGTGAATTCCTCACCAATTTCTACACGGATCATCCCAGCGGTCGAGGAAAGGAGTTCAAGTATGCGAAACGGCTTACACAATTGGCTCATCGAGAGGCTGTCGACCTGATTCTGGACTTGGACGATTTGGAGACTTACAATGGGGGGAAGGATGTGGAAATGTTGATTGAGAATATTGAGAAGAATGCGAAGAGGTGGGTGGTTAAATAAAATGTATGATAGTTTTATGGAAATGACAATTTCTGACGTGTTTATTTTGCATTTTAGATACGTCACAATTTTATCTGATGCAGTATCTGAACTCCTTCCGGAGTCCAGGACGAGAGAAGCGACCCATAAAGATGCTTTGGACGTTTTTATTGATCATCGTATCACGAGTGCACAAATCTATGAAGACCAGATGCACGGACAAGATCTGCAAGACGCGGCGAACCGGCCAAAGATTGAGGATCAGTTTCCGAAGGAGTTGTTGAGACGGTTTGAAGTATATTTTAAGCCGAGGAGTGGGACAAAGCCACTTGTTCTGAGAAGCTTGAGGGCTGATCAGGTAATTCATAATTACCTTATATTAAAATAGTAATGAGTTACATTACATTATCACTCAATTTATATGTGTTACAATTTTTACAGATTGGAAAATTGGTTACAATTCACGGTGTCGTAATTCGAGCTTCAGAAGTTCGACCACTATTAACCGTTGCCACATATTCATGCGACTCTTGTTCTGCTGAAACATTTCAACCCATCAACAGCCCAAGTTTTACTCCAATTGTTTCTTGCAATTCTGACTTTTGCAAGTCTAACCGAACAGGAGGACGACTGCAGTTGCAAACTCGAGGATCCAAATTTGTCCGCTTTCAGGAATTGAAGATTCAAGAACAAAGTGCTGACGTTCCTGCTGGCCATGTCCCAAGGACGGTTACTATTCACTGCAAAGGGGAGAATACTCGCAAGGTTACGGCTGGAGATCACATCTCCATCACAGGAGTTTTCTTGCCCTTGGCGAAATCCACTGCCTTTGCCCAAATTTCTCAAGGACTGATGACTGAAACATTCTTGGAGACTCATGTAAGTCGAAATACGTGAAATAATAATTAGTTGATAGTTTAATAGTTTTGTCTAATAAATATATTTTTACAAATAGCGATTGATCCCAATTTCAAAATGGAATGACGGTGATGTTATTGAAGACTTGACTGAAGATGAACTGTTCGAACATCGTCAAGCAAATTTCTATGAAAAGCTAGCTGGATCTATCGCCCCTGAAGTGTATGGACATGAAGATGTAAAAAAGTCTTTATTGCTTCAACTTGTAAGTAATTAATTGTTACTACTATTAATGATCGTGTGCTTGATGCAGTAGTTTTGATCACATATGACTAATGATTAGGTGGGAGGAGTGGAAAGGAGCGTGGGTGGACTGAAAATTCGTGGCACGGTCAACATCTGCTTAATGGGAGACCCTGGTATTTATTTTTTAATGGGTCTTTTTGAAGTTTTTCACCATTTTGTTAACAATTTAGTATTTCATTAAGGTGATTTTGTTTTTTATAGGTGTCGCCAAGTCCCAATTGTTATCTTATATTGACCGCTTAGCTCCAAGAAGTCAACTTACATCTGGACGAGGAAGTACTGGCGTTGGATTGACAGCTTCCATTATGAAGGACCCTGTAACTGGATTGATGACACTTGAAGCGGGTGCCCTCATGTTGGCTGATCAGGGTATAACATTTACTTTATAACAATTAAGTTACAATCCAATTACATAAATATGTCGTTTATAGGAATCTGCTGTATTGATGAGTTTGACAAAATGCAAGACTCTGATCGTACTGCTCTCCATGAAGGTAATTGTAATTCTGTTTTCTCATTAATTTGTCATATTGATAATGATTTGTAAATGGAACTAGGTTTTCATTAATTTTGCTTTTATTTTTAAGTCATGGAGCAGCAGACCATTTCGATTGCAAAAGCCGGTATTCTTACCACCCTTCACGCCAGAACTTCCGTTCTTGCTGCAGCGAATCCTGCATATGGTCGATATAATCCAAACAGAAGCATCCAAGATAACATTGCGCTCCCAGCGGCGTTGCTTTCCCGTTTCGACATTTTGTGGCTATTGCAGGTAAATTAATAGTAGCAACTTATAAACCTAAAATAATATCAGTTTGGTAACTTAATCGCTTTCAATTAAAATAGGACAAAGCCGACAAAACTGAAGATTTAAGACTAGCAAAGCACATTACTTTCGTACATCAACATCTTCATGAACCCCCAGCTACTTTTAAACCACTCGATATGGCTCTCATGCGACGTTATATCGTCGCTTGTCGCAAACATAACCCGACCGTTCCTCCGAGTCTGAGCGAGAAGCTCGTTGGAGCCTATGTTGAACTACGTAATGAAGCTCGTAATGCTACCGACACCACTTTTACCTCGCCGAGAAGTCTTCTCGCCATTTTGCGCTTATCTACAGCTCTGGTTATTAATTGTTATAATTAAATTATTGTCATATTTTAGGATTTAAAAATAATCACATGTGCAACTTTTGGTTTCAGGCCAGACTTCGTATGTCTGACATTGTGATTGATGATGATGTCAACGAAGCTATTCGGCTTGTTGAGAAATCTCGAGACTCGATCAACCCAGGTAATCATATCCTCAATTATCCTCTTGCACAGGGAATCGTGACTAATTTCATATATTTTGTGACATGCAGGAAAAAATCCTCATCCAAACCGTAGTGTTGCTGCCTCGGACAAAGTCGCGAACATCGTTCGCAGAATTAAAGGGGCCATGAAAACAGGTGACATGACCGTGTCCATCAAAGAAATTCGTGAGAGATGTACCCAGGAAGGATTAAGTGCCGATCAGGTTGACCGATGCCTTGAAGAGTACGAATCCATGAATGTATGGAGCATTAACCACAACAGGACCAAGGTCACTTTTGTGTAAATTTTTGATACGAACTGGATTTTACAGACACACAAGCTTTTTTTGAACGAGTCCCATTTTTCTGAATTAGTTGGGCTTTTCAAACATGTGTGCACTATCTTACATTTTCTAAATATGCATAATTTATTTTACAAAAATGTTCAGAGTAAAATTCAACGTTCTTTTTTGTAACTATATTTTATTGTTTTTAAAGCAACAAATTATCTGATCATTGTATCATTGATGGATTCACTCAATAAATTTAGATTTTACCGTTTTAATAATGGTTTCCGGCTCATACTTATTTAAATGACTTAATAACAGGCATATTAACACAAAGAAGACATTACGTGTAAAAACTTTGGTATTTAAAAAATATTAAATACTATATCTTTAAAATAGGCATACTATTCATCTCTCCCAAAAAGCTTTTCTCCCCTGTGATTAAATGTGATAAAGTTGGGCCTGTGTAAAAAGGATTCGTACGATTTACTCGCTAGATCTTCAACGGCTCTGATTTCTTGAAATGTCTTGGTCGCAGCGGCTCCCCATATTGATAAGGCAAGGCCAAGGAGAGCTTCTATCACCATCTATAAGCAAAATAAATTCACAAATTAGTTTAACTATTAAAATACCAAAAATTAGAGTGATTTTGAGCTTACGTCCAACGGAAGTGATGTAAATTCCTCTTCATTATAGCGAACAAAGGCCAAATCTGCGTCAAAAAAATGATAATTGCAATTTCCGTCACACAAACAATTATACAGCAGATAAATGTTGACAAATATTCAAAATCTTACGTTGTGAAACTGAATATCCTGTATGGCACAGAAGAAACACTCCCAAGAGGACACCGATTTTCCCAACTGCACGACTCATAATGTAATCTACGTAATCTTAACGGTGATCTCGTAACCTATTTTCTAAAGCAAAGATAAACTAGATTATCATTTGAGATTTATACTTTGATTTTTTAAAGTTTTTACCTTTTAATTACAAACCAATTTATTTTCTACACTGAAAAACTTGAATCCAAAAACTGAATGACTGGAGTTGAGTTTGACTTGATCAACTTTCCCACATGCCACTACTCAATGACCAATTAAACAAAGACTAATAAAAATAAACGAGTCTATGAAAACTATTGACATTTTGTGGCAATTTTATTATAAATCTGCACAATTCAATGATAGTATGGCAAAAATTAAGGCATCAGTTATAAACCTGTACGCAACATTACATTAAACCTGTCTGAAATTATAATATTTTGTAGATATTCATCCCCAGATCATCATTGTCTTCCCACATCGGACCATTTCCTTCGACATCTTTGATTATTAGTCAGATTTTCCTGATCGAGGCCTGAATTCAAGTTTTCTTGATTTCAAAACCGTCCATTTGTGACGCTTATAGTAGTAGCTTATCATGGCCAGGAGGGAAAACATCATAGTCGCCTGTTAATCCAAAGCATACGAAACATTAAATGTCACACCACCACATCCACAACAGATAGTTTAAACTGTTAATTATTTGACCTTGAGGGCCATTTGTTTTCTGATGTCATGTTCAGGCTCGGCAGCCCATCTTGAGAAGAAATTTTTTAATGCAAATTAAGATCATGGTAAGGTCGTTTTGTTGGTGCTTCAAAAAATTACCTCAAAAAAGTGGACACATCTTTAGCAAATTGACTCGCCGTTGCTGGAGTACCATCCGAGTATTCAATCACCTGTAATAATAAATATAATATTTTTGTACATTATGAACATTGGAGTTTTTCACACGACTACAAACATAACATAATTTATGTAATTTCTCACCTCATTGAACAAAGTTTGTCCCATTCCAATAGCACCTCCAGGAAAGTATGGGTTGAAATGCTGTCCCTCCCTCAAAGGAATCCCTGCTGGTGCGTTACAGTACCCAGTGAGCAGTGCAAAGACATAATCCTCCCCTCCATGTCGTGCCGCCGTAATGTACGAGAGATCCGGTGGAATCGCTCCATTGTTAGCAAAACGAGCCGCCTCGTCATTTGCATAAGGCGAAGGAAATCGATCCGACAATTTTCCAGGTCTCTGGAACATTTTTCCTTCCTCGTTCGGTCCGTCGGTGACCTCAATTGATTTAATTTTCCATTATTACTTAATCACAGCATACATGATTGATAAGATGACACATTTAATGCTTTGGTATCATTCGTATCTCACTTACTTGGACCTGCTCAGCCTCCATTTTCGCTTGAACTTCCGTATGGGACACACCCACAAGATTTCTGTAGGCGAGAAACCGCATTGAATGACAAGCAGAACAGACTTGTTTGTACACCTCGTATCCGCGACGGATTGAAGCATGATCAAAAGCTTGAAACGTTCCAGAATGGTTCCACGGAAGGTGGGTGGGGTGCAGTTCGAGATCGGATGCATTTGTGCGGAATGAATTTTCTAACGCTGTGAGCAAAAGGAGGGAGCCGGCGCCAGTCCCTGTCAACAGTGCGCAGGTTAGAGCCTACAATTGATAAGGAAGTGAATTTGATAACACCCTCAATAAAAGGAAAATTAAAACGACCTTTTTACCTACCTTTTTAAATTTATTCCCATTGTTGTTGCTCGTCGTGGAAAGAAGGCATCTCCGCAACATGTCAGCAGGTTTTTGTGTTAAAGTGGATTTTAAGAGGCTTATCGGTACAACCATGACGAAAAATTGGAAGGGACTGGTGACGATAAGCCCACAAACTCGTACAAATAGACCTCAAAAATAAACGAGCAGTTTTGTTGCGTTGTTGGGGTTTGAGTTCATCTCATTGAACTCGCTCGCTCACTACTAGTTAGATCAGCAAGCACGATTGCTTGACTTTAAGTATCTAGGTAACGTTAGTCTCCCTTAACGGTTGCGACAAATGGTCGAGTTACAAATTAAAAATTCATTTTAAAATCGTTGGTTCAAAAAGGGCGTTTGAGTCTCCAACTACTTTGACCCTTAATAACTTTTGAATCGGCAGACATAGAGACTTAATTCTTGAGGATGAAATCATCGTAATTTTTTTATTGATTTTTTAAGCTAAAAATCTCGAGAGTACTATTTCGAAAATTAAACTTGAAATCTCCAGTGAGCCCGAGTCAGACTCTGTGGTTGTCGGTCAAACCAACCATTTTCCATGAAATTGTAATGTACCAAATGCATTTAAACTTGTGGAGTGACATATTTTTGAAAAATCTGTATTGATCAAGCCCTACGGTCTCACCCGTTCTGAAAATTTCAGCTAAATCGGTTCAGCCATTTTGGCTATCGTGTTCCGGAAGGATATGATGGTTCCATAAGAACTGACTTAGGCTAAAAAGGCAACAATTTTGCAGAGCCTTGTAAGATGGCATTATTCTGAGAGCAGGACTCGTAATGAACGATGTGCATATAATTTTGTGATTTATTTTTGGTATATAAACCATTACAAAACACGAACTTAATAAACTCGGAAAATTTTTCCTATTTTAATTTATATTGCTACGATTAGTTTTACGACAGTTATCGCAAGACGGACAGACGGACATAACGGGTACATAAGCCCTGATTCAGGCTAAAAACCTATATTTAGTTAAAATTTTCACCAATGCATAATACGTATTGTTTATTTGACAAAAAACAGGCGTAAAGTGCATTAGTAAAATGTATTTGGTACAATAAAATTCTATGCAAAATGGTCGGTTTGACCGATAACAGCGAGCTTGACTCGGGCTGCACACTGGAGATTTCAAGTTCAATCTTCGAAATAGTACCCTCGAAATTTTTGGCTTAAAAAATCAAGCTAAAAATTACGATGATTTCATCTTTAAGAATTAAGTCTCTATGTCTGCCCGTTCAAAAGTTATTAAAGGTCAAAGTAGTTGGTGTATTTGTAAGGGACTTTTACACCAACTATTTTAAAAATAATTATTTTATTTGTAACTCGACCATTTGTCGCAACCGTTAAGGGTAACTAGGCACTAAAAGTCAAGCAATCGTGATCAGCAAGTGGGGAAAGTGACGAAAAATTGGTCGTCTCACTTGATTCAGTTCCACGATTAACTGACATCGTTTCTATGGGCGGTGCCCCATACGGTTGCGACAAATGAATTATTTTGAAAAAAAATTTTCATTTTTAAATCTTTGGGCCGAAAGTCCCCTTGTCCGGCCCAACGACTTTAACCTTGAATAACTTTTGAACAGGCAGACATAGAGACTTAATTCCTGAGGAGGAAATCATCCTAATTTTTAGCTTGATTTTTTAAGCTAAAAATCTCGAGTGTACTATTTCGATAGCTAAAACGTTTATTTTGAAGAATATCTCCAAAATATAAGTCTTTCAGCCAATTCTTATCTCACAAAATTCTATAATATACCAAAGTGATCATATGATCTAGACCGATCAATTGACACCCCACTGGAGGGTGTGGGATCACTTGACCCGGATTTGACCTAGGGGGTCATCTCAATCATCCAACTTAACAACGGTCCACTCACACTATTTTTTCAGTACATAATAATTAAAATTTAATTTCTTCAAAAATGAAAATTTGTGTTGGAAACAATTCATTTGTCGTAACATGTATAGAATGATAAAGTGTCAAATAATATTGATTCAGTTCAGTATCCGAAATGTTATTTTTTATCTGAAAATTTCGCCCTTGACAACAAAACGACACATCAAAGACATCACGATCAGTTTTCATTGCCAAAAAAATTTCAACGGATTTTTCTGTGTAAATAACTTGAGAAACGTGAAGAGGCAAATTGAGAAAATCTCAAATTCATAAAGAATTCTATAATTTTCCAAAGAAATCACTACTAAATAAAGTTTGTAGTGAGGATGATACTGTGATGACGAACACTTAATTACTGTGAAAACTGATGACGGAAATTGAGATGCTATTCCAGTTTTTTCATAAATTTATATGTGTAAGGCGTGCGTGAATTATGCAATTTATTGATGCATAGCTTGTTTTACTTGCATAAAAGTTATTGTTATTTTGATTTGTTTAACATCACGTAACACGATCCAAGTGTTAACTAATAAATTCCTGATGTCACTACAGAACTCAATTAAAATTATGACGAACATACACATAATTAAGAAAACAATTGCAAAATTCGGAAGATTTGCAGGTTGGGAAATTTTAATACGTGTGAGGTGATTGCAAACCGGTTTGGTTGTTACTATTTTTCTAATGCAAACAATTGTTGATGTATAAAACACGAACTCAGATTTTTTGTTAAATCTCACATATTCCTTATTTATTAAATAATGTGTTACGGATCTTCTGGATGCCAGTTTACTTTGTACAGTGCTTTGGTGAACAGTGTCCATATTTTAACTCAAGTTCGCTAAAAACCTTTAGAAATATTTTAAAACTTGGAGTTTATTCCTATTAAAAAAAATAAATTTCCGAAATGTGGATGCATAATATTCAAATAGTGTTTGGAGTTGTCCTTATTGTTAATTTTGTTGGTGCATTTCCCATGAAAAGAGAAATAGATATTGAGAACACGCGTACGAAATATTCAGGTGAGCAATGCTGAATTTCGCTTATGTACCCATCACGGTTGTCTGTCTGTCTATCGATTAGGCTTGTAAAAGTTAACCAATCGACTTGAAATTTTTCATAAACGTAGAATATTATGCTAAATTAGAAGTCAAGTTGAAAGATGAACAATACAGGTCGTACATACCCAGCTCACCTCAATTATTAATAACAACCTGACTCGGGCTAAATAAAGCTGCACTATGGGGTTTTGACTATCAATTATTAAACACTTTTTTTACCTTTCACGTAGATGATCAATTATACTTTCCGGATACAGAAGATTCAGAATCAGAGATTTTTCGAATTCAGCGTGCCATCAAATCTCGTGGTAACAAAAAGCAAAAGATTGCAGTTATGACACCGGCACCAATGATCATTTTTGACGAAGATAACATTGAACCACTGGCTCCCGAGCCGGTTTTTAAAATTCGGATTGAGCGACCTCCATCATCAACGCCGGTATTTTCTGTACCACGATGGCCACCCATGATTTCAGACGCCGAATCTGAAACGCTTTCTGATAATAGTGTAGCCACTTCAAAACCCACGAAATCGCCTTTAACTGAAAAACAATTACCATCCGAATCTGAAATTATGACCTCTACGCCAAACTCTGCTAAAAATCAGGATATTCGAATTTCAAGCAGCACAACATCTCCTGAAATCATGCCGGATAATGTGGAGAATGTGAAACAAAGCGATGAAATTTTCATCGACGGATCTTTATATGTTCCGTTCAAAGCTCAGAATCTGGAAAACCGTAAGCGACGACTAGACACGACTCCGACATCTTCTGATTTTAAATTCGAATAAACCAAAATTATGAAGTTATTTCATGTGCACGTAATATATGTATTTATGGTTAATGATAATTTAATAAATATTGGACGGACTATGAGTGGTAAACCATCCCAAATATCTCAATTTCCCGTATTACCAAATTCTATGACTGCTAATTGCTGGTAAATTAATGACAACTTTCATTTCATACCAGTCGATCTAAGCATAAACAAATTGCAAGAATGATTCGAAAACTGGTGTCATGCAATTTCATCCCTGAACTTTTATAAACTTTGTTATATTCATTTTACTCGCTGACTTACAGGTACATTTCATGCATCAACTTTCTCTTGCGCACTTTCTTCAGACTAGCATCCCCTCCATTTTGTACTGTGCTATGTTGTAAAGTATGCATATGGATTATGTAATAAGTATGCCGCAAAATCTACATGTGTATTATCTTGGTACCTTTAATGTGCAAATAATGTTAGAATTTTTCAAAGATGAAAATTGATTATTGGTTTGCATCGCATGACAGTTTATGCATACAATTCTTTACGAGGGGTGCATTTTGTGTTTATGGTTCCCTATTTTATTTGTACTGCTGAGCATGTAAGTGGTTTCAAAGTTGAGTTGTCTGAATAAAATGATAAGTAACTGAGGAATAAGTGCAGTTTTCCATGTCGTGGTTATTTTTGTTGGGTCGGCGAGCAAGAATACCGAAAAATACATATACCTACAACTTTCTCCATGCTTTTGCTGTTATGAATCCGACAGGTAGTTATTTTCGCACGAAATGCTTGTTTGATTTGCTAATTAGGTGCATTTTTAGTTGTATTTCTTATCTGTCATTGTATATATATGTATGTATATATGTGTGTGATGGATGATTCATTTGCATATCGATGCCAGAGCGTCTTATTGGCTACTGGGGGTTGGGTTGGACATCTCGGTCAACGATGGACACCTTCGGAGTGGACGCTATGCCACGTTTACAATATTTCCAGCCACGCCAAAACTGCGCCACCGTTTTATTTCCAGCGTCAGTAGAAATTTTCTAGTCATTCGTAATCCACATAAAACTCAAATCTTCTTCGTTCCTGTAATATTCCGACAACTTTCACTTGTTTACGTCAAATTCCAATCTTATTCATTTTTTACTCTTTATCTCTCAATTAATTTCGCTTAATTTGACAAGTAATCCTTGAACTTACTACACGATGGAGGGGGGAAGTGGTCCGCGACCACGGGAACGACGACGCTCGTCCCCTCCAAGGACGCACATTCGTCGGTTAACCGTGCGGGAGTGGTTTGCACGCCTTTGGTGGTCACAGCCTGACCAACAAGGGCCCACGGTGCAGGTATATATTTTCAGATCTGATATTTGTGGATGGATTTTCAATTTACAATAATAAATCGAATCTAGAATAAATGCTTACTAAATTAAATAAAATTATTAACAAATGAAGCTATTAACGATTTCTTATTTTATTCAATAAACAAATAATCGAAATTTCTAAATAGAAATGTGTCCACAGATTAGGATATAATTACAGATTACAATAAATATGATCCTCAGAATCCATGCATTGTTCTTCAAATTAGAAAAAATGTTATTTATATTCACGAATTCAGTCAATCTAAGAAAAATATTTGAACCAATTTAAAATATCCCAAATTAATCCTGCAGGGCTTGAAACTAATGAAGTTGGGGGGACTGAAGGAAGCTTGTCGACCTAAAATCCACATGGCCAAGAGGTCAGCAAAATGGTTTTAAATATTTTTTGCATCCAATTTCATAAAATATTGAACCAAACAAGCATCTTTCATACGATTAATATTTAATATCGATTAAAATATGATTTACCGCGATATGATTGAAGATTATTTGCATATTGTATAGTTTGCGAAAGATTCATATAACCTCAAGTGATGCATCTAGTTAACCAAGTAATTGAGAAGTTTTTAAATGAGTACCTAATTAAATGTTTTTATACAAATCAAAAAGTTAGCTTGATGCGTTACTCGAATTATGTCAATCAAACGGTTGATCATTGAAATAGAAACCTTTTTTTACAATAAAGATGTACTTATTTATTTAGAAGGTGTTGTGCACTTTATTTGCCAACTGTCACGCTACCTCATACTCATCCATATCAGAATTGTTTGCAAATGTTGCAATTTGCATGACATGTGTAAAATGACACGACCGACGCTCTGAATGTTTGGTTCAATTCTTCCGTGTACTCTGTTTCTGGTCCTCGGGCGCTTACTGCTTGCTTAAATACTAGTTGATTAAGGCTCCAAAAATCAATGTATCGGAGTAAGATGTAAGATAAGCTGACAAACAATGGCAGCTTTGCATAGTTTCATACGCTGTAAATAAGCAATATGGAACCAAGGAAAAGTTTCATATCTTTTCCAAAAAATGCTCCATATCTCTCGCAAAGAATGGGGCTAGAGAGGTTCTCCAGCCCCATGTTTCCAGGGGCTGAATCAATCCACTGGATTGATATGTGCATGATTGATTATTGGCTACACATTTACATCGCGAATTTATGAGTTTAAACTTCAAATTGAAATTAATTGACTTTCAATAATGGTTCTACAATGAGACGAGAAATATTTAACTCATCATCTTAAGAATATCAACATTAAAACATAATTCAAATTATGTATTTACACGTATTTACAGTTTACACTGTAAATTACACACCACGAGTTAGATAAATAAAGCCGTTCATATGTAGGTGCCTCAAATCAATTATGCACCCACATTTAACAACACGCTCGCATAGTGTTCACTAGCTACATAAATATTAATTACTAATTAAGCTACATATTTAGATACATATCATGTCCGAATTGCACGATATGTTCCATCCAACTCACACGCGACCATTAATTAGTTTATTAAATATTAGCAAGAAAGACGGCCTTATGCAATCAATATTTTCATGAACGGACGGCTGCAGTGGAACATGTTTTGAACTCTGGAATTTGGAGATTTGTAACTATTTATTAAATGAAAGGGTTGCGTCATTAACGATTTTTAACGCATTAACAATGCGTTCTGCTGTAATTTAGTGTTGTTGAGAATTTCAGTAAGAAATACATGACCGTCACATACATGAATTACAATTAAGAATGCGACTCAAATATTACTTGATGTCAACCATCCAGTAATAAATAAATCTTACCCATTTATTTACAACACATTATCATGAGAGACATAAGTAATGGCATAAAATGAAAATCGGTTCTATTTTTTGAAGCTGCGGAAGTTGGCAGTAAAATTTGTAACTATTGAATAAAAGGCTTGCGTCATTAACGATTTTGAACAACAATGCGTTGTTGCTTAATTCATTATGGATGAAAATTGTTGCGTCAATTTTTATGTGTAAATGCATGTCAAGGTATTTATTAACTCATGTAAGGAATTTCATTGAAAAATTTAAAAAATTCAATCATGAGGAATGGCGTGGGAAATAAATTGAAAGATCAGCGGAAATGGTGCATGAAAATGATGGGTCGCTGTCAGTGGGTTACTGACGAAATGTGATATTCACCCATTGGTTGTTGCCAGTTCTGGAAAATAAGTACTCAATGAGAATAAAATTTGGGTGAAAGTTGTGGAGACACTGACCTGCGAAAGATATGGAAAAGAGTATCGTTGTCCCTTATCGTGTCGTAGTAAAACGTCCTGTCCGCATATTTGAATCCATCTTTGAGTACAGGAAACCAGCAGCCTTCGCATTTAGGAGTCTTTCCGGTTTCGATAGCTTAAATAAATTAACGTGATTCACCTCAATTCTATTTACTCATCAATTCGATTTCAATTACCTCTAAAATATTTTTTCTCGTGCAAATCCATGCAAGCATAATTGTCTCTATTCGAGACATGGCCACATTGCGAATTTTTACAATATTTGAACACTCGGGCGACCTTGTCAGGGCCGTTGATGCACGCGTAGAGCGCGTGTGTCATACAGTCAGGATTTGTGGTAGAAAGTTCGTGACCGCAGTAATACTTTCCGAGTCTTCCAGAGGAGTGGCAGATGCAAAACGAAGTAAAGTTATAACTCTCATCTGAATGCACAAAATCAGAAGATAAGAAGAGAGACAATATCATTAGAAACATTTTATCAATCTTTCTGCACTGTAAAAGATAAATCGATCCCGTTTCCTCCTCTGTCAATAGGCAAATTGTACAAATAATTCAAGACAAATGCTTACTTGTGCAAATTTCATACTTCACTCTTAGTCTACATTTAAGCACAAAATAAAAATTAATGCAGTGCAATAAAATTCAGTAACTAAAAAAAGTTAAACACGAATTAAATTTAGTGTTGAACAATACAAAGTCATTAACGCTGTATTTCGGCCCCACAGTCTAAGTCTGGCTCAATTCATCGATATAAATTTTGTTTCTTGTCTTCTGGTGCTGACTGCTAATAAAATAAGTAATTAATTCGATAAGCTGACACCGAAATGTCAGCCTCGCACAGTCTCATACCTTCCAAAGGAAGAGACAAAGGAAAAATTGCGTATGCATAAAATGAGGCAAGAGAAAGTGAGCGATTTCGCCCGTACATCGCTGATTACAGTAATTGGTTAAACATTCGCATGGAATTTAGTGATATGAATTTCAACTGAAAATAACTTAATTTCACTAATGGCGAGAAAAAAAAGATTTTTATTATCGCCTCAAAAATAGCAGAATTTAGAAATAGTTGGAAGTGACAACGTCAAATTTATTAAGCAGTTTACGAGTGCATCAAATTATATTTCAAACACATATTTCAAGTTTTGATGGAACCACAATATCACAACTTTCAAGTAGGAAATATGACTTTCAACAGCAATGCGATGTTACTAAATTTGATATTGATGACAATTTTCGCTTTAATTTTTTATTTACACATGAATGCCAAGTTATTCATTAACTATGTATATAAGGAGTTTCATTGAGGAATTTGCTTTGGGAAAACATAAATTAAAAGATCTGCGGAAATGGTCCATGAAAATATGGGCTACTGGCGGAATGTGGCATTGACCCACTCGTTGTTGCCAGTTCTGGAACATAAATATTAATTACAAATGAGAATAAAATCAAGGTGAAAGTTGAGCAACCGACCTGCGAA